GCGTCTAGTATGGAGGTGTCGATGACCGGCGTTCATGATGTTTTCCCATTTCTTCCATATGTGACTTAGCATCACATGCTCGAATACCATGGGAGTCCGCTGAATCGTTTTGGTTTGCTGTCCGGAAACTCAATGTAGTCGTACTTCCCAAGCAAACCAGTCTCGTACTTCCCAGTACTGATACGGCGCGTGGTTTCTTCCAGGATCTTGTATGCCCGTTGCTCTTCTACTCCTTTCACAGCAGGAACAACTGCTACCTCCAGGCTCTCGACATCAAAAAAGTGCCGGACGTAATCGTGGAGATCTACATCCGATAGTCCTGCACATATGTGCAGTTGTTTATGTAGCATACCTGTTATTGGCTTCCCCAAGCTTCCACATACTGCCCAGCCAATCCTAGTTTTAGTCCCAATTGGCTCATTCAACTTTCCCTCTCGGAGCTTCAGAGTGGCTAGCAGATGGGAATTACTAAGCCCTATCAGTATTCCTGGTACAGCGGATTCGAAGTTCTTCACCGGAAGTTTCCTTAGGTGAGTGAATCTTGATGAAAGTTCCTCCAAGTCCAACGTTTGTTGAGGAAGTCCTAAGTTATCCACCGTGTACACCTCCGATACCTTGAACCGTTTGCTTCCGCCAGCTTCTGATATCTCCATGTTCACAACCTCCGATCCAGAAATCTTCTTGTTAACGCCTCCTGTCCATTGAAGATACAACGATTCCACTCTGCCTTCGGCACCCAATTCCTCTGCGATCGACCGTTCGACGAGCGTCACTGAGGATCCGTCATCGAGGAAAGCATATGTGTTGACCTGACCTCTATGACCGAACAAGGTAACTGGGAGGATCCGAAAAAGGGTTGATGAGGTAATCTGACGATGTACTGTAACCACCGCACTCGTAGATGTTTCACCCGATTTCGATTCGACCGGTGGCTCGAAGTGCAGTAAACGGTGGTGCCGCTTCGGGCATTCGTTGATCCCGCAAACTTCAGCCCTTACACGGCCATCGTGCATGCGATGTCAGACAACGTGCGCAAAGTTTGTTTGCCTTTACCGACTTCCATCGACCGTCGATGTCTTTTGAAAGCTGCACAATTTCCAATCTGATGGCCGTCAACCTTGCACACCGGACAGAATTTGCTGCTTGTACTTGAATACTTCGGCTGTTGCGTTTCTCCTGCCGCTTTTTCCCAATTTCTCGTTGTGATTGGATCTTCGTGATGTTTCGATTGTTCCGTTTCCGTTGCCATGTGCGCGTTGATGAACGACTTCTCCTTGGGTTTGCTTCGCTCTTCCCTTCCAGCTTTCGGCGGAATGCTGACAAGCTGGGTTACGCCACTAGCTGCCGATGACACTTTCGCCATGTAACCGCTGAACACATTCAAGTCAACTACCGGAACCTGCTCCTGATTGAGCGCCCAACTCAATTTCACCGTTGCTGGTAGTTTGTCGACCAGTTCTTGTAGTAGGATGGGGTTTGACAAATGCCTTTCCAATCCGACTGCTTTCAAGTGGCCGCATAGATTTTGCACCACTAGTCCGAAACTCACCAGTGTCTCCAATCGATCCGCCCGAGGAGCTGGAGTTGCCCTCACCTTAGCGATCATATTATTGACGATCTGTTCCGTACGGCCATACAGTTGCTGAAGTGTTGACACAATTTGAGGCACCGTTGACGGGTGGAGCAAAAAGCTGCTGACTGCATCTTTGACAGAACTTCTAAGGCTACGCTGCAGCCGCAGTAGGTTTTCTACGTTGGAGTAGCCGCAAATCTCCGTCGAATGCTGGTAGCTGCTTATAAAAAGCGGCCAATCTACAGGATCACCAGAGAAGATTGGCAACTCCTTTGTGACCACTTGTCTGGCTGCCAATTGTTGAGACGATGGACCAAATGCGAGATTCGGTACAAAACGTTGATTCGGAATCCACTGTGGATGAACTTGCGGAAACCCAGGGTCACCAAAATTCTCCTGTCGACTACTTGGAAAACCTTCGTTAACAAAGAGCGAAGGAGGTGGTGGACAAGGAGGAGTATGATGCCGACTGTTCCCTGAATTATCTACCCTAGGTATTCCAGAACTAATGTTTGGGTAAGCTAATGGTGGACTATTGTTGCCACTTACCGACGATTGACCTTCGTTACGTGATTGAGCGACATCTTGCAACTGTTGAACTTCGTCACGTAACGCCCAGTAGTCCTTCTCCGCATTACTTCGCAGACGAATCGCTTCTTGCTCCCGTTGACAAGTGACTACAAGTTGGGACTGCAACTGTTGTTCCGTAGCCCGCAGACGCTGGATCTCACTATCTAGCTCTGCATTCTGCCTCTGAATTGCTGCCTGTTCCCGATCCCGATGCTCGAGTTTAATCCGCAAATCCGCTTCCGATTGACGAATCCGTTGCAGTTTTTCGACGTGTTGGTTTTCCAAGTATTTAATGGTGTCTTGAAGCGCCGTTAGCTGAGGACCGCGATTTTCGAGCTGAGTACACAGACCTTCTTCCGATCCCTGCATCCGCTTCGTTTCCTTGTCGAACTGCGCTGGCAAAACATTTATCCGGTTAACCAGCTCCAACTGTCGCTTACGTCTTGCTTCCATCTCCAACTCGTACTTCGTCTTCAGCTCTTGGATATACTCCACACTTCGTAGCAACTCGACTGCATGCTGGTTTCGAAGTTTCCCGGTTTCGGAGCTCAATTTTTCGTATGATGGTATGCCAATACGTTTCGCTTTCGGAACTGCGCCGGTCTTCGAAGTAGCCGCTATACTGTCATTTTCTTCGAGAAGATCGATGAAGGGCTTCAGATCGACGAATTGCATATTGGTTCGATCTTTTCTATCAAGCTTTGCCACCACCAATCCAAGAACACCTTCGATAGTATCCTCCGAATCCTCGCCAATCGTGATGCTTCCTTCAGTTCTTGGGATTGATTCCACCTCTAATCCCTCGCCAAACGTTTTAGGAACAGCAGATTCCAAAACTTTATTCGGTGTCGATGAGCAGTGCACTCCCTGCGCAACGCCGGATGCCTTTTGGCATTGATTGTCATCTACAGATGTTGGCACAGGCGTCTGTTTCACCCAATCTTCCGTCCTTCGCGCACTCCCCTGGCTACTTCGCAAACTGCGTACACTTTTTTCATATTCTTCGTCTTGCCGGTATAGCAATTCGTGCTTCCGAGCAATAAACTGCTTGCCACGCTCGAGCTTTTCTCGAAGTTACTTCTCGTTCAACGCGCTCTCCATGTTGATCTTCTCCTGGCTCAGCTCATCCATTAGCCTGCGCTCTTCTTCCAGACTGGAAATACTCAGTGCTGGGCCAGGAAGACGAGGAACGCAAGTCGTGCAAGAAAAACTAGTTGTACGTACCGTAGCAGTGTTGACGTTGGCACACGAAAAATGGTATCATCTGTTACAGTTCTGGCACTGAACCATAAACCGCTCAGCGTCATTTGGCCGCTCGCATCCACCACATTCGCGATCCTCACTTCCACCGTTGTCGACAATCGACGCTTTGAACGAATCGTCCGATGACTGATTCGACACCTGATCGTCTCCTTTGGTCTGGAGGTTGGCATCTATCTTCTCAATAACCCTCGTTCGCAATCGTATTTGCCGAACATTCGACGGGAAATCCATGTTACTACGGTTGAATTCTTTAAGAATCTGTTGCGACAGATTTTCTCGGAGTTCTTCCAGCAATAAACCACTCAGTTATTAGTGTGTATCAGCTTAAAGTTAGAAATTAGTTTTATTTTAGGGTGGGTTTTCTAATAAATTTTAGGCTTTCTACTTACAATTCAGTCTCCGTTTATGGTTTTTGAACTAGTCACAACAGAGCAGGGTTACTTCCACTCACTTGCTATAAAAAGATGTTTTTCGGAATTATGAAATCGTGAAATAGTATAATGCTAATAAGTACTTGTTAGTTACAAGAAGAGGTCATGAAGTATATGTTTGACACATAAAATCTGTCAATATTGCTTTCAGTGCGTCACAATCAGCGATTTTACGACTCGTGAGCGCTCACTCACAGTGAACGCTCACGAATCATAAGATCGCTGATTGTGAGGCTCTGAAAGCGAAGTTGACAGGTTTTATGAGTCAAATACATACTTTATACCCTCTTCCTGTTACTTAAAAGTAGAACATACCATTACAACATCTAATGATTGCATAATTCCGACAAATATTTTTTTATAGCAAGTGAGTGGAAGCAACTCTGTAACAGAGTACTTTTAATTGTAATATTCAGCCATGTTATTCAATTCCTGCGTTTAGTTATATAACAGCTTAGTATTTTATAAATAATTTACCTCATAAATTCAAATTATTTCACTGTAATTCTATTATATCAATTCGAAGATTTTCAAACAACACTATCATTAGCTATCCAATAAGTTTTGTTTATGTTCTCCTTAATCTCGTATCGCATACCAATGCTTCTCATTGTCCCTCTCTCTATATTCCTCATCTCATAGCATTTGACGGCTTGTGCTTCCCGCATCGACCGTTTGATGTGATGTGGCATGTTTGCTACCATTACTGGTAACCGGTACAAGGGGCTGTTGCGGCGAACAGCAGTTATTAATTGGGGTAGGGGAAACGCTCCTATAGTTGCGGTACGTTAGAAGCGTTAGGTTCCTATAGTTGTGTACGGAGTCTCCATACACAACTATAGGAACCTAACGCTTCTAACGTACCGCAACTATAGGAGCGTTTACCCTAGTTGGTTGTTGTGATTGCCGCTATTGCTGTTGTTGCCGCTGATATGGCTGTCACTTCCACAGCTGCAAAAATGCCCAACTTTATAGAAGATAGACACTAAGTTCCAGTTTGACGTAATAGACCAAAATACCTAAACATGGAATCGTTATCGAAAAACCACGTCCCGGGCGTTCATAATCTGCCCGAACCCCCCAGGGATGCCTCTAGTCCATATCGTTCATCAATCCAACATCAATACAAAAATGTTTAATAAACTCTTCACTTTCGCTTTCAGGAATATCCATGCACAAGGGCTACGCATTTGTACAGTTTACGAACCCTTTCGATGCACGCAATGCCTGTCACGGTGAAGACGGGCGGACAGTCCTCAGCCAAACGTTGGGTAAGTTTCGAATCAATTTCTAAAAAATAACGGCACAGCAACTGTCCATCATCAGGTCGCATCAAAACAACATGCACAAACACATGCTCGTGCCATGCTATGACAGCGCTATTAAACAGCCATAAATAAGCACTCTCCCGTATCAGCTGCAGCCCTAGAAGCACATAGCGTTAGCACGTATATCTGGACGAGTGATGCACAATTAGTGAATTTATATGTAGAACAAACTTCAAAACACCCAAAAATAGAGATACATCATGTCACGCTAAAGCGTGTGGTGATCCATTCGCTGGGCCATTGGAGCTCATCAATCATGTGGGGGTTCGTGTCTCTGGAAGAAGAAACGGAGACCAAAAAAAAAACTGGAAAACTTTCGCTGTCATGTCATTCATAAATTATTTTCCATTCCATCAGACTCGGGTGGTATCCGTCCGATCTAGGACGCCTTCCCGGGGACTGGATTAGGGGTTAGGAAGTCATTCAGCAGCAGCCACTCACAAGCCGAGAAATATACGCAATATTCTATCCTTGATGAAAGTGTGCGTCGGTCGGTCGCCTCCTGGAACAGTAGTTGGAAGACATAGATAGTAAAACCGGGAGAGGGGGCACGGTGCTGCTGCTAGCTCAACCCAATTTGTTTTCGCTACGGGTCACGCGAACTTGGCACCCCTTGTCCTTCATTCTATTCGAGACCCCCTTCCCCAGGCTTGTCAGTCACAACGAACGCACGCGAAGGACTTCTTCCAGCGTCCGGAGTGGAATGGTGCGGTTGTCGTTGTGTTTTTTCTTCTTCCTTCCTTTGACTCATTTCGGTTCAGGTCTTCGACGGCCCGCAGCGTCTAATAACTAATAGCGTACATTTCCGGTTCTGCTTTTCTGCCCTCGCTTTTAATTTATGGCAATTTTTATGCATGGAGCGTTGTTTTTCCATTAAATGAAATTAATAGCACTTTAATGGGAGGCAATATATGGAATTACGGCGGCTCCTGGTGTGAATGGTTGAGCCGGATGTGGGTTTGGAGGTGGTCTCCTGTTGCGGCGTGTTTTGGAGCAGCAGAAATATGTTCTGTCAACGCGTTAAATGAAAACAATCCATCAAAGTTTTTATTTATGAGATTATGTGTAGCCGCGAAGAACTACTGTGAGTTTGTCGACAAGGCTGCAACCGCCCGTAACAAATGAGTTTGATGTTTGTCCGATCACAATATAACTCTGATTTATGTGAAAATTAACTGTCGATTTCAACCTTCAGCCAGACTCAACAAACAGTAACTTTTCAAACATGCACGGAAGCCACCAACCATAACGGCATCTAATTATTTCATTCCGACAAAAGTTTTATCAATGACAACAAGACAACAAAGAAGTTGAACTGAGCAGCAGTAGCAACGTACAAATTCCACTGAAAATACGGGTGGTGACAAGCCATTAGTAGAGTAGAAAATCCGTGCGTGAGAATACGCGGTAGCCAAGGTTTTCGCAATGTTACCGCTCAACCCCCCTTCTGGGACAACCCAACCAACTGCAGCACGATAATAATGAATTAATTTACTTTAGCTTCGGAATCAACGCTCGTCCTAAGGGTCCCAGCACACGTCAAACGAGAACACCGTCAACGGCAGTGGCAGCAGAAGCGTGTGTGAGCGATTACGTTCCACTAGAGTGGAACCCCCACGCGAGAGCATGAAAACCCGAACGGAACGGATAGTCCCAGAGGGAAATGTCTCAAAACGATACCCTGTCGTCCACTCCCACGCGTCTTGTAGAATAAAGAAAAAAAAGAAGATAGAAATAGAGAGCATCCGCATTCGCCGACTAGCTACCGGAGGTCCCGTGTTTCATACAGTCAGTTTACTGTCGGCGGCTTTCGGGAGACACCCTGGCAGACAAAATATCATCAAGTTTGATCGATAGTGAGGTTTTTTTCCCCTTGCTCGTGTTCTTTGAACTTGTTGTAAACTGAGACCTGAGGCTCTAGTGAGTGCGGTTTTTTTTTTGCTTTTTGTGGAACCAGTATAGTAGTCGGAAATCGGTTGCGGATGTGGAAAGGTGGTAAAGCAGGACGTGGCAATTTTCATCAGCCGTTAATCGGTAAAGTTTGTGAGTGTAATAAATTAGTGACGTGATGTGGCTTTCTGTTAGGATGAAATAATTCGTTCAAAAACAGATACGTCATTCGAAAAGTGGATGAGCTTGATTTATGGATGGTATTATATGAGTGGCATAAGGAAAGCCTTTGGTTCTATTTGAATATTTATCAAGAATATTAAAAAAAAACTCTACAACGCAACGCAGATTACATCTAACCAGTGTTGCGAAAATAGCAAAAAATTACATCTCATCAAAGAACAAGACTGCGCTCGATCTTCGTTGACAAAAATCAACAAACAAACAACTGCGGTTAATGTCGCAGCTTGGAATGTCAATCTAACGAAACTCACCAGCTGCAAATCTCACCAAACTGTGGTGAGACTGAGTTCCATGATTTTTGCTTTACACCAGAACGCAACCGGAACTTCCATAATGGCTGGCAGCAGTCGCTTCGTCTCTGCCATTGGTGAAGAGAAAAAGGAGATAGCACTATTCTACCTTCTCTTTCTAAGAAAACGAGGTGCAACGGAATCATTTTTCGGTCGATTCAACTCTCAGCTTCATCTTTACACGTTGTGAATAGTCTCGAAATATATAATAAGCTTGTAAAATCAATATCAAGCATGATATTTTGCTCCAATATCACGCGTGATATTGAGAGCGTTTGAGAGCGAAAAATATCTATTTTGGTAATGATTGTGCCATCACTGCACCTAACTAACTCTCACTGATATATAAATGATTAAATATCCAAAACTTTGCTGTAACACTGTTGGAGCATTCTATCGTCTTCCGTAATAATTTTCTTGAAAATAATACGGCTCGAACAATGCACTAGATTAAAACTAATGTTACTTATTACTTGCCAAACACTATTTTGACACAAAGTCTTAAGGGGGTTGTGATGAGTTCTTATCAGTGTAGAGATTTGTCATTGTCATTTACAGACTTTCGCGCGATATTGACATAATTGTTTTTCACATAGTCACTGATAGAGTTGATCCTCAAAAAAAACTTCGTCAAAATCTTATTCATTCAAAATCAGCACATGTTCGTCACTGACAGCTTTGTCACTAGCAATTGACATGGTTTGCCTTGACGATGACGGTTAGCTCAAATGAGTAACTTAATCAAAATTTTGAGTATTACCGTGCACTGCAGCACTGTTTCTTAGGGTGTTTTGTGGGTGACGATTTACCTTCTAGATAAAAATTTCAAAAAGTCCTATCTGCATTGATCGATTCTCTTCATCGACTTTCTCTTTCGTCAATAACTCAGCTGCAAAACCTTTCCCTGTTGTATTTGACGTTTTGGACGCTCCTTTATCAAACTATGTGGTAGAATTAGCGCGAAATATGTTTGCATAGCAGTGGTTATGAAAAGAGAAATTCGATGAAGAGAATCGATCAAAGCAGAAAGGACCATTTGAAATGTTCATCGAGCCTTGTTCTTTCTCTTGTGCTCGTAACTCCTTCAAATCTTCCAACCGTTTGGCATCCTATTCACTCCTTTTCGGCTCCCTCTCCGACCTGTATACGGTACCAAACTAGTAAAACTAATAGGCTCTTTTCATGCACCACCAATGTAAAGTGCGCTAGCCAATTTAAAAAAAAAATGTCATCCAATCCTAGGGTTACCATATGGTATCCTAAAGGATGACATGTTCTCCTTTTTCAATAATATTTCTACATCCTCCTTTTGCCAGAAAATGTCCTCCTTTTTAATCCATGCATTTTTTTTTCCAGTAACATATTCATAAAATGGTTTTCAAAGAGCGTTGTATACAGAGCTTATTTGTTTAATTATGTCGCAACCTCACTTTCTCAAACAAATGCCATTCGATGGTAGGACTAGATGTTTACCACCGACAAACCGACATGACACTTAATTCTGACTTATGTCCAAACATTGTAAACGGCCCATTTAAATGTGCAGTGATCCGAACTGTCAAAACCATAGGATTTTTTGAACTAGATAAAAATAATTTATCCAGAATAGATCAGACACGAAACAATTCATAACTTTTGCATGCGGGTTCGTGGCTTAGCTAAATATTTCCCGCGAACACGGAGCCAGATGTCAGTAGTGTGCTTTGATCAGAAATGTTATTGTGTTTGCTATGATCATTCATGTCGGTTTGTCGGTGTGTTTACTACAGCTGCGGTCTATTTGGTGAATTTTAACTTTGACAGATGGAAAATTTTCGAATAAACCTGCTATTCCACCAGGCTTATTTCAGACAAACCAGGAATCAATTTTGACAAAAAATTTCTCGAAAATCGAACAATCAACAACAAAGGGATTTTCGAACATTATAATTTCTTTTCGAAGTGTCAGTGAAAATTCATCAACTTTTCTGAATTATTACTTAAATTTTACATTTCGAAAATAAATAATAATGTTCGAAAATCTCTCTATTATCGATCGTGTGATTTTCGAGGTTTTTGTCAAAATTGATTCCTGGTATGCCAGAAATAAGTCTGGTACAAAAGCAGGTTTATTCGAAAATTTTGTATCTGTCAAAATTATGTTAAAATTCACCATATGGAACACAGCCACACAGGTTGAATCCAACATGTGTTCGATTTTGACGTTCTGGTTCTATGGGATTTTAGGTATTTCAAGCATAACTATTCAATTAAACGTATCTGATTTTGTAAACAATCACTTCAATCGACGATTTGTGGCAACTGCACACTTACAGAAACTAACAACACCAGCTAGTAGGCGAAACTTTCTCCTACCTGATGATGGTGTTTGTTTGCGTGGGTGAGTTAGCAGTTAAGACAAATCGTCGATTGATTGTTTACAAAAGCTGATACGTCGATTTGAATGGTTACGCTTGATTTGTTTAGGCCGCTGCCATACTGAGAAAGAAGAGGCACGCGAAGTGCAAAATCGAGTGGAAG